TGATTGTCCATCAACTGAGGCAGTTCGTAGTGCTGTATTGGCATCTCTACTGCCATATATGAACAACATGGAAGATAATATAATCAGTGATCTTGGTGGACACCTACAGACACACAGCCAGCAGACTACATCTGCAGTGGCTCAACTTGACACTAGACTAAGTGCTCTGAATGAATCAATGAGAGACACAGCAAACATGACATGTGACAAGATTGAGGAACATGACAATCAAATCACTACTCAAATAATGAAAATGAACCGGAGCCTGACAGAACAGATCGTTAATAACAATGGAGGGTCAAAATGCGGAGGTACAGGAGGTTGGAGACGTGTAGTCTACTTGGATGTGACAGACCCCAACACCAGCTGTCCCTCTGGCTGGCAACTATTCACCGAAAACTCCAAGAGAAGTTGTGGAAGAGTTAGTACCGGACGTCTGACTTGTGACTCAGTCTTCTTCCCTGTCTGTGGAGGACCATACAGTCAGGTGTGTGGCAAGATCAGAGCCTACCAGTGGGGGACGCCCGATGCCTTCTGGGGATATATTGGTGGACAAACTACAATTGACAGTGCCTATGTCAGTGGTGTTGCTGTAATGCATGGCAGTCCTCGACAACACATCTGGACATTTGCTAATGGAGCATGGGAGAATGATACAAGATCCCAAGTATGGAACTGTCCATGTGACAATGGAGTTACATCCATCCCATCATTTGTTGGAGAGGATTACTTCTGTGAGTCAGGGTATGTGTATCCTGGGTACAGCGATAGAACAGAATGGGAGAGACTCCACTTCAATGACACTCTCTGGGATGGTGAAGACTGTCACTCCACCAGTACATGTTGCTCTTTCCACAATCCTCCATGTTTCACCAAAACCCTCAGCCAGACAACTACTGAAGACCTTGAACTGAGAATGTGTTTATATCATCCCTATGACAACATAGCAGTGGAACTGGTTGACTTGTACGTCAAGTAGCTAGCTGCGTACTGTCATTCATTGTTACTGATTGTAGAAAAAGGCTCAATATTATACACACACGTTTTTACAATACACATACATTCTACAATGTGATTTCATGTCCCGGCGGCATGAACGCCCTGTAGTTGCTGTACCTACTGCGCATGCGCTCAGGTGTGGTTGCCGTGGAAACTACCCGCGCGCCCAGACAGGATAGAGATGTTAGAAAGACTTCTAAAGCGAAGCGGAGATCCAAACCAACAGAAAAATAGTGGGTTCGCTACACCCTCTCTTCACAGTAAATCGTCTTCCTTATCTCCACGGACCTACTGACAGACAAGACTACGCAGTAGCTACGTTTTCTAAATAACGCGCAGCACGTAGCAACCACCAAGATTCTCTCTCGGGGACTCCAGACTGCTGGCAGATGGCTCAGCAGCTGAAGATTCCCTGGCAGTACGCCGGCTACGGAGGACCTCAGCACAGTCAGCAGCGTATCTACCAACCGTAAAAATCCGGAGCCCCACCTAAATGAAAAGCACTGAAGTGCAAACCCTCGGCGAACTGTGACGCACAATCCTAAGTAAACGCATGCGCCGTACCACTAATTGATGGGCTAGGTTTAGCTTTAGCTGTTACTCGTGGTCTCTTGCCAGCTCACGCTGAGTCTGACGCGGTCTAACTACACTACTAGATAGCATGCGAGAGGCGATACACGCCCTGCGTTGCATCTTCTGGTGACTCCGAGGTACGCAGAGCACGCGGGTCGATCATGCCGTATAAGCCGTTGTTTATTTGCATATTGGATTTTTCGCGCTCTAGCTTTTGCAACGGAGCGTTTTCAGAGAAAATCGTTCGAAATTTCTGACCTTCATTGCCCGTTCAGTAGGTGGTATCCTTTGTGAGACGAACAAACACCCGAGAAGTGAGATTGAGAGTAACAGACACACAGACACACAGACCCAAGTACTGTAACCCTCGCTGCGCATGCGCGCCGAGGGTTAAAAACCTAAACCGTACGTAAGCTAGACCTGTAAAACCGTCTGTGTGGAATGTCATCCCTTCTCCGTGCAGACCCATCATTGTAGTCCAGGTCCCAAGCCCCCTGTGGCAGTCACTCTGGCAAAACTGAAACATTGTCCTCCTCTTGAGGTAGTGTGTGTGAAAGAGAGGGGGGGGGGAGTAAGGAAGGTTTTCTTTGGTGCAGAATGAAGTGGAGTCTTCTCTGACAAAGGCAGTTCGTGTGACAGCTGCTCTGGTCCTCGGAAACCTGTGTCGAATGGCTCCCTCCACTCACTGGTATAGAACACCTCTTCCCTGTTTTGTTTCTTCCTCTTTTAGTACATTTTGTCCCAATACCCACATGTTCTATATACATGTATAATCCCTCTCTTACTTCATTACCCTCACTCCCTCTCTCCCAACAGTCAGATAAGGAGACATGAACACAGACTCAGTGAAGTGGCTCTGTCTGACAGAGAAGCTGCTCACGCCATTACAAAGTGTCTCTCCTGTTTAAATCTCCCTCCTCCTTCTCCTCCCTCTCTCACTGCTAACCTTCATAATAACACTGTCACACATCAGTTGACTGAAAACTCATACAGCTCTCCCTAATGATTGTATTATACATTTCATCAGTCTTTCAACCTCAGAGAAAGGAATTTTTACTGTATAAGGGAAATGTTCCCTTGGAGCTGGTCAAGGAGTTTGAAACATCTGTAGTTGTTTCAGTGTATCTGCCAATCTTCCTAGTTATGCAAGCTGGTATGGAGGGCAGTTTATCAGCATGGGAAGATTGTACAGTGCAATGTACTGTGGGGGAATTCTTATCTTTTAGAGTCCCTCTGTTATTGTAACTCTTTAGCCAGTTGTATATTGTTAGCTTGGCTGTAGTGGTGCATGCATGCATTGCAGAGAGCCTAAATTCCTTCTGAGATGAACAGGCCTTTTCTGCTGGTCTTGTGTCTAGTGACACTGTCTAATGTAGAGCTGGGACAGTCTCAATCTGATGGTAAGTACAAAGAATAAAAATAATTGGTATCAAATTTCAAAGTTTGTGTGGGCTACAGTTGATAGGATAGCAGCAGCTGTGTTCAAAACTCTGAGCCCGATCTTGAATGAGGTGAAAGAAGACATTAGCTGTGTGAAGAGTGAAATAGCCAATCTCAGTGAGACAGTCAGTCATCTAGTTGAGCAACTGGAACACCACAAGAATGAAACTGCATCTGAATTTGCTTCAGTAAACTCTGAATTAGCTGATCTG